ACTGGCTTGGGCCTTTCGCACAGCCACCCTCCGAGGGAAGGGCTGAAATGCCGTATTTTCCGTAGGTGGAGAGAGAAGCAGCAGAGGAGCACTTTTGGGGGTTTTAGTCTCAGGAGCCACTTGCCTGTATCCAGGTTGATGGTTGCAGATTGGTGACTTCAACCTTTGACTCTTATCATCCTCTGTTGTGAAGAGCAGGATCAACTGACAGCCGGATAATTTGTAAATGCACATTACTCTGACAATGTTGTTTGGGTATTTCAAGCTTCATGGCACTAATCCCTTGTGCAATGACAAGTCAGCAAATAGTTTTTTTATTTCAACAAACTACTCTGTGACACTTGCATTGCTGATGGATGCCTTGCCAAGGTTTCACAGGCCGCTGTACCTTCCAGTCTCCCCACAGACTGCAGAGACGTATCCTTGTCCTGGCTTGCCCATATGGGAAGTCTGGATTTCCAGTGGACAACTCCTGCTCCCACTCCCCACACTGTTGACCCCAGGATCCGTGTCACCAGTCTCTCTGAACAGAGATGCCCAAACACTTGCCAGGCAAAGAGATTATCACTGCTCAAACAAGCCAACCAGAGGCCAAGTCCAAAAAAGAGTCAAGATCAAGTGAAGGCAAGAAGTTTGTATTAGAGGAAGATGGAAACCACTGGGAGGAGATAGTATGTGAGACAGCAGGTCAGGAAAGGTGCACATCTGATACGAGTTTTGAAATCTCAAGTGGATCATGCACTCAGCTGTGTGCTAGCTGTGTTTCAGAGGCTCCGATTTCTCTCTTAGGACCAGAGGACACAACTGGCCCAACCCTCTGCTGAACAGGAACTGGGATTGAACGGAGCAGCGCGAACTTGGACAAAGTGACCAAAAGATAGAGGATACTTGTGTATCTCAGCTCCAGCTGCCTCGCATCCTGCCAGCCACAGCTGTGAGACTCATGGACCATCTCAGTTGCCAGGTTTGTTTGCTGAAATCCACTGGCTTTGAAACATGTACAAACTACCCCTGGAGACTCGGCTGGGGCCTCCCTGCTGCTTTTGTTTGAGATTTAAAACCACAGTGGAAACTGGTTTTCAGATATGTTAATACTGGAAATGGCTGAGCCAAGTTCAAGTTAATCATCTCTGGAAAAGGTTTCTTGAGCACCGAGGGACATTTGGTTGTGCCGGTGATGTTGTATCAATGGGGTGGCTTTCTGGAAAATAAAACCTTGCTCAGCAAAGCCAGACATGTCCCTGCTGCAGGGATCGATCGCTGGGTGAACGTCTCTCTTCTGCATGACCCAGAAGGGCAGCGCAGACCCTTTATGCTTCCTCCAGCACCTGTGAGGATGCTCCAGCACTTCCCTTCATCTGCCATCGCCCAGGGAGCTCTAGGACTGTGCAGACCGAAACACTGCAAACCTCTTTCCATCCTCTGTGCTGGCCCATCACCACATGGGGTGTGAGCTTGTACAAGCCCTGTCAAATTCCCCATTTTCTACCTGCTCTGTGGCTGCACAGGGCACTGCCAGCACCAGCCCTTCGCCCCAGGCCAGTACGTGCAAAATGGGCTGAAAATGTACCAGCAATAAAGGCAGATTGTTTCAGAGCAATTAGGAGCCTTGTTTCCTACATCTGTCAAGAGGACACTTGATACTGAAGCGTCACATTCCTTTAGACATAAGCAAAATGAAGATTAAGACTAAACATGTCCTTGGTGTTATGGAAAAGTCTTCAAGATGTGGTGTAGCTGCAGTGATTTGTGATGAAAAGGGTTTTTCCAGAGGCTGTCTGTGAGAGACATGTCTGTGTGGGTCCCCTCTAGAGCTGAGGCAGAGGGCAACACAGGGCCAAGCCAAGGTGGAGGAGAAGTTTGTCTCTATGTCCACAACTGCAGATGGGCATCAGCTTCCTCAAGCTAATATGAATGTCTTGCAGAAGCAGAAGACGAGGTACACTCTCCCAGATGGAGGTCAGTTTGTTGGCACAGGTAACGAGACAGATACTTGTGTGTGTATTTCTCCCTCTTGCACAGAAGCATCAACATCTTCCCAGTCCCCTCTGCAGCTGAGCAGGATACCCCAACAATATCAGAGCAGAAGCAAACATCTCAAGTCCAGGGAAAATCAGTGGATCCAGGTGGGAATGCAGTGAAGCATGGATGTAAGGACTCCTGGGTGTCATGCCAGGAGAGACAAATGAAGATGCAATGGCTAAAGATGAAGTTCTCTTTAAAACCATCTAAACTGAGTATTGGACAGCGTAACACTATCACATCAGATGTATTAAAACCATATGCAACACGTGTGATCTGTAAACACACAGCATCTGCAGCACACCCAAACCCAACGTGCCTCCTCCCTGCAACGCCTCCACACCTTCCTCAGGCAATTTCCATAGTGCCCTACAAATCCTGGACAGCAGTTTGTCCCTGTTCAACCTTGGCATTTGCCCGTGGGTGAACACCTTCAGGGTTTTTCCCTGACAAGATTTTTGTTATTTCTGTCCAGCAGCCTTAAAAACCTCTGCCCATTGTACACATTTCTGGTGGGCTGAGGCTGTGGTGGCTTTCATGGCACGTCTTGCTGAGAATGAGTTGATATTCCAGCTTCCCATCCTCACTTGAAAGGGAGGGGGTTGGTTATCTCTAGCAGTTTGCATCTCTGAGCTGGAAACTTTTATCTTAGCACAAGTCTAAGGAAGACCCCACTAGTAACTGCACATTTTCTCCATGGGAAGATAGGATAAAAGTCTCAAAGGAAAAGGGGAAAGGAAAAATAATTTGTACTTCTGTCAGAAGATTTCCATCTTTAAATTAGCGCAGTGAGCACAAGAACACCAGTCCATACATTTGGTAACGGCCAGGTGTTTGGCAGAAGCAGCAGTGCTATCTGGAGCCTATGTGGGTCTCAAAGTCTGTCTGAGTTTAGACATAAGGATATACAAAGAAGCACATTAAAATAGTAGATGGAAATATAGCACTCTGCAGTAAAAAAAAAAAGAACAACAAAAGGGAGTGATTATGAGCAGGAATCTTGGCTCTATTTACTCCTTTTTTAAAACATAAAACAGAAAATGGCATCATGTTCCCAGGGACATGCTGGCAAACAGCAGGGTTGGAGTCTGAGAGAATCTATATTTTATAGTTTATAACTTAATATGGCTTTTGCATGATTTTAGTATTTTTATTGGTTCTTAAAACATGTGCAATATAAACATGTGAACCAGCCAGAAGTACAGCACATGGAGGGCCGGGATGTTCAGCCATGCCAGCCCACAGCTGGGAGGGAGCTGGGGTTTGGGGACCACCCCTCACCCATGGTATGGTCCCAATCCTGCAACGAGCTCCCTGTGGATACAGGAGGCTGTGGCCAGGGTTGGCCTTATTTGGGGCAGGACGACAGCCTTATTCTGCACATTTATGGTGCTGCACCACAGCATTAAGCCAATGTTTCCACTTTCTAGTTGAGTCAGTGCTCAAATCCCAACCTCAGCCCAAAAATAACACAAATTCAGCCCCTTTGCTGCTTCCATCCCCTCACACCCTTCTTCCTGCCCTCCTTTTAGCCAGCCACAACGTCACCAAAGGGAAAAACAACGCACTTGGACACTGAGCATCCACCCAGCGCTCAGAGGTACCTGCCTGCCTGCTGCCTCCCACCCATCCGGGCAGAAAATGCCTTGTAAGTCCATGCTTCCTACAGCTTTGATCCACAACAATAATGACAACAAATAAATCATGTCGTCAAGCTGATAAACTCCACGTTTCATGCAGAAGGGCCTGACATGGCTTGCGGAGCAGCCCACAGGGGCATTGGGCAGTGCTGTCCTCCATCTGGCACTGCCAAAGGAGCCCCAGGCCAGGCCCTGCCCAACTCGTCTGTGGAGGCTCATCTCGGAGCCAGAATCACATTTTTATTTTAATGGCACTGAGATCAGGCCTCCAAGCGAACCAGTCACGCCTCGGATATTCACTGGGGAATCAGGAATAATTTCCTGCTAATTTCTTCTACTTGTTTTCTATATTGAAGGGGGAAACCTCTGAAGGGAAAAACAGAAGTAAGCAAGTAATCATCAAACAGAAGCGAGAGAGGGCAGAAGCTGGCCACTGCCAAACTCCAGGCCAAGACCAGCTGTGACAGCCAGGGGAAACTCAGCTCCTCACAGTCCTCTCTATGCCCCTCTCTAATGCCCAGCGAGGTGGTCCATTTTACAGATGCAGTAGAGAGGCAGTGTCCCAAAGCCTTTGGCAGACCAGAGGAATGATCCACATCTCAAATGTGTCTCCTGATTAAAGGACCAAACCTTCTCCTGGATGTAGTTTTTCGCAAAAAACAACATACTTTACAGTACACTTGCAACAAATCACACCTCAGATGACCTCCTGCCCCAAGCAGAGGGTCCTGGTTCATGGCCTGCATCTCCCTCTTGACCTGCCCCCAGGTGTTTCGCTGCAACACAGCATGCCCTGTGACAGCAGTATTAATGTCTACACTAATTACTGTCCTTGTAAAAAAAAATAAAAAAATTAAAAAAAGAAAAAGCCTATTTAATCCTTGTTAGGGTTTAAATGCAATCCAGCCTCCCAGACACAAGACTGCAAACTTTTGCCCTCTTGTTGCAGAAGGATCTCACCTCTCCAGCCAAGCTGGTTTGACTTCTGCAGCCCGGGGCTCGGTGTGTGCCAGCTGTGCCCCAGTGCTCGAGCTGGGGAGCACACGCTCACCTCTGGGCTCACACTGCAGCCACCGGGAAGGTTAAAGTCACCGTGCACGCAGGAATTTAGACAAGAGCACGCAGCACTCCCTGCTGAGCCTTTTGGGGCAAGATGCAACTGCTGGTTTGGAAACCAGAGCGCGGGTGGCCCCATGGAGCTGAGTTTGGCCGATACCTGCACCTTGGTGACCTTAGATACACACGGCTGCCGGTGGAGTTCAGGGAGAAGAGCACAAGCTCCTACGGGAAACCCACGGACCGCCTATGGGGGTGAGCGGGCTGGTTTCGCAGACTCACTCGGACACCTGTGATGCCGGGATATCCAGGAGGCCCCTCTTTTCCCTTCAGCCCTTCGGTGCCTTTTTCTCCTTTCTCTCCTTCCAGGCCTTGGTCTCCTTTGTCTCCCTGTGGAAGAGAGGAGAGTGGGAGCTTTTCATACCCACACAACACATGGGTCACTGTGCATGGCTTTTGCAAGGAAAAAACCCCAACACATAATTAATATTTCAGGACTCTGAGAGGAAGAGAGCCTGCAAGCAAGAGGATGAATGAGGATGAGTCATAATACACTTGACATTTAAAAAATGAGCAAAACCAGGTTTCTTTTTTTAAAAAGTCTCTTGGCTGGAGGAGAAGGAACTCCCCCATTACACAGGGTAATCTGAACCCCTCTGCTTCTCCTGCAATAAGGCCTGAACCTCCCACGTGAATGAGACAGGCGGACAACATCTGAAAGTTTCCCTTGCCTCTCCCAGAAGCCCTGAGCTCAGGACGCTGAAAGATTTTTTAATGGGATGGGTTTGTCTGGAGCGGCCTCTGGGCTCTTGTTGCCAAGCAAGAATCAGCCCAAGGCTCAAATAAGCTCTGCGAAACAGCATCATCTTGTCCCTGTGAAGGATTTCTGGTCCGAGCAGTAGGTACCATGTCAAATCACCGTTCTTATAATTGATGGCACAAAATATTATGGAGACAATCCAAAAGGCCAATTTAGTACTGACAGCAGCACCTACACTTGTGCAACCAACCAGCCTCCACAGAGTCGTTCTCCACCTGCATTAGTGAGAGCACAGCAACATCTCCCCGGGTTACACAAATGCTCCTCACCATCCAGAGACACATTAAGGGTGAAAAAACCCCAGTTTGGTTCAAGAGCTCTTGGAGACAGTTGGTGGTGGCAGGAGAATACAGAAGTCTATAAGGAGGAGTCTTTTGGTCCAACATTCAGAGATAAGCAGAAGCAGAGACACATGGCAAATAGTTTAATTAGAATAAAGCAATAAATTGCATTGTTGTGGGACCGGCTGCTTTTTCTTTCCGTGGAACAAAACTGTTGGCCTTTTTGGAAAGGCCAGCTGTGCAGGGACAGAAATCAGAGCCCTGTTCCAAAGGCAAGGTAGCAAACTCACAGCAGCAAGATAAAGAGCCCTGAGTGAGCACCTGGGGCTTTGCCAAGAGGAATTGGGTCTGGTTGCTTCACTTGCTAAAGAAGTCCTGGTCAGCAGTGCAGGGGGGAGTGACGGACAATTCTTGTTTTCCCCTGCCAGGTCCAGGAATCCCTGATTAGTTGGAAATTTAATCTGTAAAGACTCAACTAAAACAGACAAATTGTTGGAAAGTCGATTTTGAAGAAGTTGACCTTTTTGGAGACCTGATCAGATGCCAAAAATGTGGGTAGAGGAGTGAAACAGGAGGAGTTTGTTATGTGTGCTTGCAGAAAAAAAAATCCTTGGAGAAAGCAGGGCAGAGGCTTATTGCACAGAGGACCCAAAACCCCTCTTGGCTTCAACCTGCCTCCGGTGCACAGAGATGTGAGAGCTGAAACACGCCACGAGCGAGCTTTACCTTGACACCATCTGGCCCAGGTGGCCCGCTGTCCCCTTCCAGCCCTGATTCTCCCTGCAAGACAAAAGCAGGCAACATAAGGCTGTGCCCAAATATGCTTTTTCCCTCCATGCTGTTGGCAGCTGGCTTGTGGGAGCAACAGGAGCCCAGCCCTGCACTTTGACACACGTCCTGTCCTATACGCTAGTGATGGACAAGCTTTTCCTGGAGCAAGAGCAGGAGCTCAGCCTCTTGCCTTAATCTGAGCCATAGTTTCTCCTCCACAGACTCCACTGATGTCTTTCCATGTGTTGAAAAAGGGGCTTGGTTTGTATTCACTTCACCTTGGGCTTCCCCATCCTGCTCCAAAAACTGACCTTAGTCCTGAGAAGGGACAAGAACCACCGCCAGCTTCAATCCATGCATTCATCCCGGCCCTGGCTCCCTCCCCATGTGTGCATAGTGTGGCCAGTGTTTCCCTGCTTAACGCCCGTCTTCTGCTCCAGCGTCTCCCTGCACCTCGTGGAGAACAGGATGGGTCTGTTCCCACACTGCTCCAGTCACACATGAGGTTGTCCCAGCCCCACCATAGCACTGGAGGAGCTCATGTCGGCTGGGGAGCTCAAGCTGACAGGCTCTGAGAAAGGTGTTTCCACCACCCACAGAAGAAACAAGGGCCATAAGGGTTACGGGACGCCCAGAGAAGGGTCTGTCTGCCCAGAAAGAGAGCCCCTGCAGAACAGATAAGGCACAGAAGGTGATCGTACTCACTCTTTGGCCAATGAGGCCTTGCTCTCCAGGGACTCCCAACTGGCCAGGATCACCCTAGAAAGAAGGAACCACAGAGACAAGCTGCTTACTGACGGCGAGTGAGCATGAAGCATTTCACAGTACACCCCTCATTTTGACTTTTTCTTTCCTTCTCCCACACAAACACCTTCAGTCTGCAAGGGGGTCCAGAGGACAGGTTGGCATCACCAGCACCTCTGCTTGCAGAGGGTCGGCGCACACCTCGCAGGCCCTGTTGCAATGGTGCTTGGCAGGGCAGGGGACGAGGAGTGGTTTGTGCTGCCTGCAGCCACACGGCCAGGAGATATCCTGGACATGGGCTGAGGGACAGGAGATATCCCCTCGGCACGGCCCTTTGGCAGGAAAAGCAGCAATGCTGGGTGCAATGCAGTGCTGCAGCACACACACAACCAAAGCAAGGGAGAAGAATGCTGACAGCTCTTTGAGCCTCAGCAGGACTGAGGAACGTGGAGATGAACTAAAATGAATGAACTGAAGGTGCCTGGAACTGGCAAACAAATGGATCTTGGGAAAAGGCCGTGAGGTTGGGCATACAATGACCATAAGGCCACTGCCTCCCATGTGTGCCCATCAAAGCAAACTGCTTTGTAAGAAAGAGCTCAGGAAATGCAGAGAAGGAGAAAAAGGTTTGACCTATCCATACATCTCATCCCACGGCAAACGGGCCTGCCTGCACGTGATGACTGCCCTGAGCAACTCCAGTCTGTCCTAGCACCTCCCAGCACTGGAGGAGGAGCAGCACCAGACTCTTGCTGACTCCTGGCAAGGATGTGTTGCACTGACAGCGGGTAAAGGGGTGTTTGTGCAAACCATCGTGTCCTGTTCCCCAGGAGGGCAGCCAGGAGCACGGGAGCTGAAACACTTGTGCAGTATCAGGACGCCAAAGACACGGTAGCTCCAGTGAAGTGTCAGAAGATTTGCCAAGGAAAACATGGCAAAGGATGGGGCTGGGGGTGGGGAGTGAAGAACAGCAAAGAGGAAATTGCATTTAATCCCCACATAGAGCCCGTTTAAAAGCTCTGCACACAGGAGTGGACCTTCAAACCAAGTGGAAAGGGGGTCAGGATAAAATAAAAACCCCTCTGAGCTGCTCAGCACAGGGATCTCATTCAAACAAAGAGACGGTTTTTACAGGCCTTTCCATGTGGACAAGAAGGTGCATTCATGGAGCAGGGCACCTTTCCCCCATAACCATTACAGAAGTTCAGTCCCCAGAGAGCTGAGGCTTGGGAACTGCAGCAGGACCTTGTCCAAGGGTATTTTAAAGTTTGAGACCTTCCTGAGACTCTTGTTTCAAATTAGAAGCTGCCTGGATCTCCGAATCTCCTGGATTTCCCTCTCCACTCAAGTTTTAGATCTGTGGAAGAGCTGAGCTTCATTTCCAAGGCTCTTTGCATCTCTGGAGGCACAAAGTCCCTGGGATGGTGCTTCTCCCCAGCATCCACAGCCTTCTCCTCTGGATGAGGCTCAGAAATTTGTAACCAAGGGCTTAAAGTTAATGTTATTTTATTATTCTTCCTCTGTTTATTATGTTGTCTGCTCTGGCTGCTGGAGGGTGAACCTGTGATGTTACCCACCCTGCAGGAACAGAAGTTGCTATTATCTCCCTGGTCTGACAGAGAAATTGCACTACGCGTTTTTCTCACCTTCATGCCAGGTTCACCCGCAAGGCCAGGTTGTCCCATTGAGCCAGGCGGTCCCTGGAAAGAAAAAAATATAATGAAAAAACCCATTGTAAGCAAGTAGAAAGCAAGATCAAAGACATAATTCCTTTAGCAGAGCCCTCCTGAGACAGTGCAGCCCTGGTTGCCATGTAATTACCTCCCGGGAGCTGGCTCAGGGTATGCAGCATCAAAGAGGCCCCACACCCCCCCATGCCCAGTTCCTGGGAGGGCTCAGTGCGTCTCCCACGCCTCCCTTGCCAAGCATCTCTCTATCTCCTTCCAATCCCTTGCTTTCTGAGGTTAGTAACCATGCCAGGGATCAGTGCTGGGAGTAGCTGGGAAAGAAGGGAAAAAGGCCCAGAATTAGATCTGAAAGCTCTTCAGAAGGACCCAGCAGCTTGGCTGATACAGAGGATAACAAAAACGCTGTGCTCCTTGCAACCCTACTTCTCCATTGCCACTGGTGAGAGCACATTCTCTTGTACCACCAGTCTTGAGAGCCAAAAACGAGTACCTGATCTGGAAAACTATGGAAAGTAAGACAGGAAGAGGGAAGCTGGGAGAGTGACCTTGCAAACTGTTACGCGGTGTCCAGCTGCCACGTGCAGCCTTGCGATAGAGGGGTCACGTTCATTGGACACCTTTGGTACAGAGATCAATTGGGAGCTTTAACCTTCGTACGTTTTCTACTGCCTCTGGGGAGCACGGGAAATGGGAATCTGTGAAACAAGCCCAAAGATGGGACAGCAAAGCTTTTCTTTAAAGGGCTTGAGAGGTTTATTTACTTATGATATTTGCTTTCCGGACAACAAACTCCCTTCTCTTTGCAGTTAGGAATAAAGGAAAAAAAGAGCACATAGTCAAGGGAGCACTCTGCTGCCCAGGGAATAAAGCCAATTCCTGACTTGCTGAAATGGATTCCAGCAGAGAGGGAGCAGGGCGCATGTTGGGTTTATGAACAAATGGTCAAGTCACGCAACGAGAAAATTCAAGCTCCAATGAAAGCAAAAACCCTGCTTTGGTTTCTCCAGAGGTGCCAGTGCAGAGAAAGGCTCCTGGAAGAGTCACAGATTTGAATAAAGCTCTGTACTTTCTTGGTTGGAAACATCCAGAGTGGCTCAGTAGCAGCTTTCCAGCTCCCCAGTGTGGTTTACCACGCCGAGAGCTCGCTCCGTCCAGTCTAGCAGCCATGAGAATGGAAACTTTCATGACTCACACACTTTGCAGTAGACCGCATTAAAAGCCACCTTCACTGCTGTTTTCACAACCAAGTGAAACACCGTATCTGCATTGCAGCTCAGGACCTATGGACAGGAGCTATGCAAGGGGAACTGGCACATCTGGTAGACACAGCCAAAACTGTAATACTTAAGGAGAGTGAAATCAGGTCAAGATTGCAGACAAGTTAGGGGGAAACCATGAAGGCATCTCCTGCTCTCCGTGTCAGGGCACCGTTTGGCAGCTGCTGCTGTGTTGGTTATGGTGTGTTTGTGCCACTGCTTCATGGCAACGGCAACCCAAAAGCTCAGTCAGCAGCAAAGGCGTTTCTCTGAGCTTCTTCCATTGGCTGCAGTGGCTTGTGATGGGGCTGCAATCCAGGCTGGCTGACAAAACTGTGTCTTGCCAGTAATGGCATCAGCGAGGGGGAAAGAAAAGACCAGTTGTCAGTTTGAATTGTATTTGGTCCCTGAATCTGCACCCTGGAACAGGAAAGGGGGTCCCTGGTGTGGCCATAGAGCCATGCCATGCCTGCCAGTGTGGTCAGCTTTGAAATGTTTATCTTGTTGTGACAATGGCTCTGCACATCTGGGTGTCTATGGGCAGTGATGAAAATAATGCTTTAATTTGTGATTTTCACTGCTTGCTTTGGAAGTTGACTTTCAGACTTGAGGGAAATCCCTCCTGCTCATGTCCTCAGGAGTGGAAGGATGCACCTCTGCACATTTACTCCTCTTTCAGTCCTGCTACTCTTTATGCAACAAGAAAACAAACAGGAGCAAAGATCAGACGTACCTTATGCCCAACTTCTCCCAAAGGCCCAGGTGGCCCCTGTGGTCCTTGTGGCCCCTGAAAAACAGAGACACAGGGCTCTTTTCATACAGCTGTTTCCATTTCTGAAGGGCCATCACTTTCACAGCCTGTAAGATAAAACACCAGTTCCCTCCCACATCACAGTGGAGCTACACAGTGAGCAAGAGATGACCAATGAGACGAAGAAGCCAGCAGTGGGTGTGCTTAACAGGCAAACAGCTCAGCAGGTCCTTCATCTTTCTGGCTCCTGCCTAGAACAACTGCATTTGCCAACCTGAAAAATGCCTAGTTTAACTTTTTCTTCAGTCCAGGTCAGTCCCCACAGACATAAAGAGCAGGACGTGACCCCTCTTCCTGCTTCTGTGATCCTATTGGCCCTCCTTGAGGTCTGTGTCTTCATCTGTTACCTCCCAGTGCCTCCTCCAAAGCTGTGGGCTCAGTTCTGACACCATCAGCCTCCCTCGTGGTTCCCCTTTTGCTCTACCAGCCCAGCTCAACTCCTCCTGTTACATCTCAACCATGTCCCAGGCCCAACCTTGCCCTTCCTTTCTCCCTTCCTTTCTGAAATCTATCTCAGGCTGTGTCCTACACTCTCCCCGGTTGATCTATGGCCCTCTTTTGCTTTCCAGGGGTCTGACCTTGTCTTTCCTCATGACTCCCAGAATTCTAGCCAAGTCTTTCACATCTCTGACCACACTGGAGTTGGCAAGGACAGAGAAGCTGGGAACGGGAATCAGTGGTGGGGAAAAGACAGAGAAACAAATGAAGTGTCTGTGTGTGTGCAAGGGAAGACAGATGAAGGGAGAGCGATAAGACACTTGCCGGGTCGCCTGGAGCCCCTTTTGCTCCTGGAGGTCCAGAAGGTCCTTGGATGCCCTAGAAAAATTAAAAACACCAAGGTGAGCTCCAACCCCATAGCAATCTTTCATTCATCTCAAACGCTCCAGTAAAAGAAGTGGAGAGGTGATGCCGTAAGTGAGACACTGCCCAAGTTCCTCCTCCTGGACCCAAAACTTACAGACTAGCATGAAATCGAGGTTATAAAAGAAAGCACAAGGAATGGAACACTTACTGGAAAGCCACGTGCTCCTGTCTCCCCAGTCTCACCCATCTTCCCCTGTGAACACACAGTGACACCAGTTAGCAGCCAGGAATGTGCTGAGACACCTGCGGTGCTTTGGCCAGGAGAAGCTGCAGCTGCCCAGGCACTGTGCACGTGTGGGTGTCCCATAGGGGTCTGACACCGCACCAGGTTTGGCTGTCACAGAGGACGTACCTGCAGGCCGTCTGGCCCCAGCTTGCCTGGCTCCCCTGGTCGGCCCTGCGAAGCAAGGAGACAAAGACATGTTGGCAAGAGTGCAAATCTAATTAATATCAAATACATCAGAACAGATACATATTCCCTTAGGTCATATTTTACCAGTTATGTTTAATTGCTCTGATTTTTGTGCAACATTCTGATGTAACAGTCAAGTGCACTCACTGCCAGTTAAAGCTGCTCCCATTCCTTCAAGGGACCCCATTATTTTAGCAGAAGCTCTTTTATGTTTGTGAATTGCCTCTGCGTTTGGGGTCTCAGATCCCAGCAGAAAGGGCCCTGATGCCCACATTGGACAGATTTTACTCCATCTGCATGAAAGACTCATCCCTGCTGGCTGATCCTCATGGAGCGATCGAACATCCCCTGTTTGTGGAGGACAATGTCACCTTGATCCTGTCTAGGGCATTTCACAACACAGCTAAGAGCAGCCTTGGCCAACCCGGCCACCCACTGGCATTCACCTTGACACCTCGTGACCCCGGCTCGCCTACTGGTCCATCAGGCCCTCTGGCACCCTGGAAAAAGGCAAAAGAGAGGCAAAAATAAGAACACAGAGTATATGTGACACTGGAAAATACAGCAGTCACCCTAGCTTTGGCCACCAGGAAAGTCCATGAGATCAGCCCTGGCTAAGCCAACCTATACTTGGTTGGGTTGAGCACAGCAGCTCAAAGCCCAGGACTCAAAAGACCCCTTCTGTGTTTTGTTGCTTCGTTTCTCACCATTCACCAGCACATAGCACCAAAATACTTTTAATTCCTGTTAAATCAACTACCAACCGCAAACCAAAGCCAGAGGAGAAAGGCAGGCCAGGAACAGCCTTATGTTCAGACAACAGTTACAGGACAGGGGTGTTGCAATGCACAGACTCGCAGTTCTAGCCTTACTGACATCAAACCTCTAGAAATCAGGGTGACAAAGCTACAAAATATAGAGAGGTACCACTGTAGGGTACCTTTGCAGCTGTCCTGGGCCCCAAACTGCTCCCAGAGAGCCGGGTATATTTGCTGGCAGCTGAACTGGAGCCTTCAGCTCCAGTTACCTGCTATTTAAGGAGCTGGCTGCTGTGAGGGAGCAGGCAGGTGCTCATGCATATGTATGTGGGGAGCACAGCCAGCCCTGCTGCTCCAGCATGTCTGGTCCCACACCCTGCGTCTGTGTGCTCCTGGGTGTACGTGTGTGTGCTCCTGGGTGTATGTGTGTGTGCACGGGGACCTCAGGAGGTGCAGGGGACACACAAGCTGCTGCAAACGCTCATGGCACATACAAGACTGCAGACAGTAAGCGATGCTGGATGTGATTAGCTAAAATTGAACAGCTCGTACACCCTTGAGGATGGGGCGTCCTTGTTCTTCCAGAGGGTGCTAGGTGAGGAGAGCACTGGTCTCAAAGAGGGGATAACTGTGATCTGGCTTTCAGAGTAATTTCAGAAGAGATGAATGCACAGTGCTCTGCACCATTTGAACCCCAGAAACCAGTCTGTTACACTGATGGAGAATAAACAGAGCCATGGCTAGGGAAAATAAAACAGCAAAAAAAAAAAGGGCATATCAAGAGACTCTATTAATGCACGTCATGTCCATAATCAGGCCATGAGCTCAGTTGGGACTCTTAGGCGCTACTGCAATATAAATAATAAATAAAAACACAGAGCGGTGCTAGAATGCAGCGTTAGGAGGAATCCTGAGAGCAGGCCAATGCGGAAATAGAGAAAACAGGAGCCAATGTGCTTAATCGGGATGCAAACCGAGTGCCAAAAGTAATAACAGGGCTGGGGAGCCAATGTGTTAGAAAAGCAACTCCAGTGTGACAGGCAGAGAGAGACTCACAAAGAAAGGCAGTGTAACAGCAGAAGATGTATAGAGAACGCAGCCAGATTACTGCAGCAGACAAACATCGTCAATATAAAATAATGCAAAAACTTCTACTGCGTTTGGCAAAACCCTGTGCCGCTGAGTGTACCAGAGATTAAATAACCAAAAGCCTGTGTTGCATGCCAGTAAGACACAGCTCTAAAGAATGCTCAGCCTGCTCTCCAGGACAGATGGACAGGGTAGGGCTGCGCACCCAATGGGAACCCCACCACCAAATGGGGTGTTTCACAGGTTGGTGCTTTGCTACGCTGACGTAGTGGCAGCTCTCATTGCCCAAGACCCCAGCTAATGCTGGTCACTGGAACAGAGAGCAATAAAGACCAAAAGTTTTGTTAATCCATGTCCCTGTAAACTTCAAAGCACGGTGACATAAACCAGAAGGTCACTTAAAAGCAGAGCTACTGACAGCTCAAGCCAGGCAGCGCTGTAGGTTGGAGCAGTGGGAGAACAAGGCTTGGAGGTATTTGGGGAGCTGCCTGGGGTAACTGGGACACCCAGCAAAATACACAGACCTGCCCTGGGCTGAGTACTGGGCTGCCCAAAGAGAAGGGAGGTGTCAGCACGTGTATGACACTGGCACCCCCGGACAGCACCCTGCCACCCAACTTCTCATCCTCCTGGGAAACAAACTGCTCCCCTCCTCTTTGAGCAACCATTCAGAGATTTTGTGCCATCACATCTTTATTATCCAAGATGATATCCAAGCTGCTTGTGAAGAAAAGGAAGGATGTGCAAAGAGGAAGGATTCAATACCTCAGCCCTGCCATTACAGAAGGAAGGAGCAGGAATCAGAAGCAAGCGGGACATGAAAACGACAGTGATGACCTGGGTCAGAGGTTTCCATTCCAGGACAGATGCTGCCGGGGAAGAAAACTGGGATGCATCTGGCCCCTCCAGACCCATCTTTTGCAGTCTGTCCTGCCCTGTCCAGCCCCTTTGTCAACGCTGGGCTGCTCTAAGCTGGGTGAAGGCTGCTGGGTGCCCTCAGCCCTCACTCAACATGCAGCAAGGCAGCAAAGGCTGTGGTTTTCAGCGGCCCAACCCGGCAGGGCTGGCTGGGGAAGTGTTTACGGTATCCTCGTTTCTTCCAGCAGAGCCCTGTCACCAGCATCGCAGGATCTGCCAGGGCAATCTCGCTTCACAGCAGTCACCTGCCTAATCCCATCACAACACATCTCGTCGGCAGCTGACCTAAAGAAGGAGAAAGTGACCCTGTATTTGCAAATGCATGCGGCAAGCTTCATCTTCTCCAGCCTCCTGGGCCAAAACCCAGGATAAAGGCTTCCCCTAATTCGTCCTGACAGGAAAGGCTACATTTAGTCAATTAGTTAAATCTTTAAAACTCTCTTTTACTGACAACGCCGGTTAGAGATGAGCGAGTGAGGCCCTGGCAGCTCTCCAGGGAGCATCCCATGCCAAACGCCGCAAGGCACAGCACGGTGCCTTCCCTTGCAGACCCAGCAGCTCGGCCTGGCAGACAGGGCTGAGTGTGGCTCCTCTTGGACCTTCAGTGTTTCCAAATTAACTGAACAGCTGGGCCTGCCCACCCTGAGCATGGCAAAGCAGAGGGACCAGAGTGAGCATGTGGAGAGGCATCTTGGGAAGCATCCTCCTAAGGGCATTGCAGCATGGACCTGTCCTAAGGGTCGGGTAGGGAGGGTGCAGGGAAAGGCATGGCTTTATCACCGGTGTCAGCATCTCTAGGAGCCCATGAAAAGAGAAGGAAGCTCTTCTTTAGTCCATGTTAGTATTTATAAGGCAGTACACAGCTGAGGAGAAGTCCTGCTGGGCCAGGGCTGTACAAACAGTGCAAGCTCCAAGTAGCTTTACAATGTAAACAGGAAAAAAAGGAGGGTTAAATCAAGATCTGTCCATTCCTTTGCACTCAGGCAGCCAAGGCACAGAGAGACACAGGTTCACGGCTGATGGAGCATTTGAGAACCTGCTCAGCTAGTTCACCAAGGCCAGTTGGACATGAACGTGTGGCTCAGAGACACTGCCATGTCCATCTCAAAGCAGCTCACCCGAGGTCACGCAAGGAGTCACAGCACAGCCTGGGCAGTGCCACTGCAGCACAGCAGCCATGAGCTCAACTCTCATCACTCCTTGCTACCTACATTCTCCTTTCGCTTGCATTGTCAGGCAAGAGGAGCTGAATTGGCATCGTTCAGGAAATCACAGCTCTGTGACCCTGTATCTGAACATGATGCTTCAGCTGCAGTAAGTCATGCTGGCGCCGAGGTCCTGGATCTCAGCAGGCAGCGAGACACTCAGGGCTGGGTAGAGTCCAGCATTTTGAAAATTCTAGTTTCAGTATCTTATTTGGGCACATTTCTGCCTGTGCAGGTCCCCATGGTGTGGAAAGCTAGCGCTAAGTCCTTGCAAGTCTCACCTGCAGTCACATTCTGCCTCCTGTAATCATGAATTTTGTTAAATGTAGGCTCCAGCAGCAAAGCAGGTGACAGTGCCACACGATCAGTGGGTACCCAGGCCAAGAAAGCATTGCCCTCAGAGATGTGCAACACTGAGCAGCTCGATCAGCAAACCCAGACTAAACGAAGTGTTACGATATTGGCTGGATATGAGCAGCACCAGCTCAGAAATTCAGGGGAATTCATTTCCAGGCTTTGCCACTCAGGCTTATCACTAGTTCATGTGAGGCAAGAGAGATAATACCCTGCTGCTAGAGTAGACAACATTCCCACAGAACAGAAACACTCAACAAGGTGTTTCTGCAAAGCTGCATTTCCCCCTGTTTAAACAGGTACTCAGAGCTCAAAGAGGGACAGCAACCAGCTTCTGAATAGCAGCAGCAGCACGAACAAGCAGTCAGTAGCTCCTTCTCAGAAATCCAAAGCTTCTTCCTTACTCCTTTATCCAAATATTGATATTTCACTATCACAGTCTGGCCAAATGAAAAGCAAGCAGATGCCTTGACTGGAGCTGAAGGGAGACATTGCTGGCCATAGATCTGTAGCTGACTTTTCCTCAAACACTTCTAATGCTTTTTCAGCCAACTAGAAAGATCCCTGGGAGCAAAACCATATACCTCTGCTTTTTCTCCATGCACAACTCCTTAGCTGGACCCGGAAAAAGCAACTGTTTTCAGGTTTGCTTAGATACCACCACTTCCCAAATCCCTGCAGTTGGTGATGCTGCAAGGCGTTGGGTCTGTGTGGCAGAGGTACAGCGGTGCCCCGTGCAGTGAGCGGCAGTGCTGGGGGGCAGGGCTGCAGCCTTATCTCGGCTTTGCAGGCTTCACCTGGGCAAGTTAATGCAGGAGCCTGATGAATGAATGGAGCAGTGGAAAAGAGAAATATGCTTTGGGATTCCAAAAGCTCCTCTGTGTCGCCTAAGCCAGCACTCAGCATCCCTGCAGTGAGAGGATAAAATGCCAGAAATATTGACAGGCACCTGAGCCAGCAGAACGGGGCAAGGTAAGTCACTTTAGGGCAGGATTTCAGGCACAGCTTTATGATCTGAGTTCCAAAGTAATGACTCCAGTTGATATTTAACCTTTCGTAGAGATTCTTGGCCAATACCTGGGTTTTTGATATTGATCTCCTCAATAAAGGATGCTGGAGACCACACGTTTTCCTGCTGCGAGGAGCTGATTAAGAAATGTGCTTTTGAATTTAAGT